CCTGGGGGGAGAATGGGGGAGAAGGGATTGGGGTGTGGCCCTCCCCCCCCCCCGGGGGGGTGATTTCTCTCTGTCTCTCTCTGCCTTTCTAGTGAGTGCACACGCCCTATAGCAAAAACATCTCCCCCCCCAAAAAAAAAAAGAATACAACTGACAGGGGCCAGCAGGTGGCGTGGTGGTTAAAGGCGTTGAACTCCTACATGTACGATATGGGTTTGAGTCTCAGACCTGACGGCTTGCTTTCTTACTTTCTCTCTCACTTTCTCTCTCACTCTGTTCCTCAGTGGTCAAATTAAAATAAATAAATAAATGGATAAATAAGATAATCCGTTTTTTTTTTTAAAAAAGGGAATACAATTGACAAGATCCCAGAGACCTTAGGGGCTGCTCAGTCCCTTAGCCAGAGGCAAGGGTTGGGTGTTTTAGAAGCCCCCTGCAGAGGTACAAGTGGGGGGCACTCAAGCTCTGCTGACTGCCTCCCTAATGCCCGTCACTGTGGTACATTGGTTCTGGTTCTGGTCCTACATAGCACTCAAGGGCTACATACTCTCGCTGTCCTGAGGCATCCCCAAGGCTTTGGGTCCAAATCAGATCTGTTCAGAGAGCCCCTAAGGGGGAGGTAGGAAGCTTACCTGCCACTGTGGACACATTAGCTAACAGGTTGCACTGCAGCACTCCCACGGACAAGGATACCATCACGATGCCACCGTTCTTCTTCTGCAAGCATGGTAAAATAAGACACTCAGCTGAGCTCCCCAGCACGGCTGTGTATCTGTCCACCCTCTGGCCCCGTGGAGCAAAGTGTTCAACTCTGGTTTTAGGGATCACAGACTTCACCTCTTTGGGTTTGTGTGAATGGAGACGTCTCAGCTCTGGTTTAGGTGGAGCTGTCTTGGTCATGGGTTCGAAGGCAAATATTTACCATCAAGAACCCTCACCCCCAGGATCAAGAGCTCAGAGGCTAAGGACTATGGGTTTGTGGGGCAGAGGTTCAGCCTGGGTTGGAGGAAGTTGCAGGAGCTCAGGTTCAAGGGCTACTGGTTCCAACCTCTTGCTGCAGGTTCCAGGGCCAGGCAGTATCTCACCAAAAGCTGCAGGATGTCATCAGGGACATTCCGACTGTGATTGCAGACACTCCGGGCAGCCGAGTGGGAGAAGATCACAGGCGCCTGTGACACTTCCAGGGCCCGCCGGGCTACAGCGTCCGAGACATGGGACAAGTCTACCATCATGCCCAGGCGGTTCATTTCTGCCACCATCTTCTGCAGGAACAGGTTGGAAGGAAGGTAAAAGGGGTGCACATGTGTGTACATTTATCCATTGGGAATGGGGTGTGTGTACATTAGCGTGGGATGGCATATGAACCAGGACCCTCACCTCGCCAAAGCTGGTCAGCCCACTGACATTGCTGTAGAAGGGGTGGGTGCCCTCGGCCGAGCTCTCTGCCCTGCAAGATGTCCAGAAGGCAGGTGGACTGGTGGCTTTGCCAAAGATCCTAGAGGCCCTACCAAACCATTTTTCACTACAACCGCCCACCATGGAGTGTCCCTACAACCCCCCACAATGGACTGCGTCTGAGAGTGGGATCAGTCTTGCTTTGCAATCATCAGAATTCCAACTCCCCTCCTGACTCCAGGGTCAGTGCCAGAACCGAAGGGTAAAGCTAGGTCTGGACTCACAGTATGCGCCAGACAGACCTCTGCCTTGTGGGCCCACACCGTGGGGCCGTGCACTGTGCTCACCAGGGCGTGTTGCAGGTGTGGGTGAGCGTCAGGTAGCGCACTCCCAGCACATAAAAGGTACGCAAGACGGAGAGGCTGCTGTCCAGAGAGTGGCCGCCTTCCACACCAATGAGGCAGGCCAATTTCCGGGTGTTTTTCAGAGCTGGGGGGCAGGCAGGTCAAGTGATTACTTTCAGGGACTGAAGTAGTCAGTCAAATCTGTTAACATGCCTCCCAATCCACCTACCTTTGACAGAGGTCACAAGCTCCAGTTCAGGGTAGGAGGCACACATGTGGCGTATGAGGTCTATCTGCTCCAGGGTAAGGCGCACAGCATCCCGGTCCTGGGTCTGGCATGGAACGTAGGCCGACCAGAACTGGGGGAAGACCAGGGTTTGGCTTGGGCAGGGGCTGCTTTGGAGCTGCACAGTCTCCACTACCGGACAGCACCCAGCATGGGCCCGGAGGCCATGTGCAATATGCTGCTTGTTCCACGGAACTTTCATGCCTACCAAGTTGGCTCACTGTAGCCCCTGCAGCCCTTGGCATCCATATCATGGCATTTTGGGGGGCACTATGGCACCCAAGTTCCCATGTGACTAACCCAAGTTCCAGGGCTCCCCATTCTCCCCAACACTCCCCAGCAACCATGCTGTGCTACCCTGTGTGTTCCCATGGTACCTGGGCACCCACGAGGCCATCTCTAAGCCTGTCCAAGTTGGTCTGGCCATGGCTGAAATTGTGCAGGTTAACATTCTGTATTCCATTTGGGTGAAATTGCCTCAGGACCAGGGGCAGGTCGTTGTGGCTGGAGGGACAGCAAGGCAAGATCAGGTCAAAGATAAATGGGTGGCTGGGAACCAGCAGTTAGCGTAATGGCTATGTGCTGGACTCCCACGTAGTCGACTGTTGTTCGCGTCCCAGACCCGGTGGCTTAGAACTCACGCCAGGCACGTGTGCATGTGTGCCCAAGATCCCGAGAGGAGAATGGAGGAGAAGGGATTGCGGCGTGACCATCCGCCCTGGCGGGTGATTTCTTGCTTTCTGTCTCTATGTCTCTCTCTGTCTGGCAAGCGCAGGTTCCCAATAGCGAAAACCTCTCAAAAAAAAAAAAAAAAAAAGAAAAATCAGTGGGGGCCCAAAAGTAAATGTGAACTCCCATGTAGCCAGTCAGGGTTCAAGTCCCAGACCTGGTGGCTTAAACTCATGCTGGGCGCGTGTACATGCATGCCCAAGATCCCAGACAGAGGAGAATGGAGGAGAAAGGATTGCAGCGTGGCCATCTCCCCTGGGGGGGTGATTTCTTTCTTTTTATCTCTCTGTCTTTCTAGCGAGTGCACACGTCCTTTAGCAAAAACCTCTCCCCACCCCCCAAAAACAAACAAACAAACAAACAAAAAAACATGGGTGAACTTCTTAGGCCTCTGGGCCCTCCAGCCCACTGTGTCACACAGATTGTACTGAGGTCCCGAGAGGCGTGAACTGGGGGCTCACACTAGAGAGTGGTGGCAATGGAGGGGATAGGGCAATCATGGGTGGGCAAGAGGTCACAGTGATGGTGTGAGGAAATTCTTTGCTAGTCTCACATCTCAGGGCCCCTCCCCTGTCCAGCGGCATGCTCAGTTCCCAGTGCCACCCCCACCCCACTCCGCGCTGTATCGCTGTATCTACGCACCCGTCCACCAGCGGGAAGTCCCGCATCAGGGCTCGAGCGCGCTCTCGCAGGTCCGGGACTCTGGGGGAGCCCAACGTGGTTGGGGGGTTGGGGACACCTGGCAAGGTGGGGGTGCTGGGCGTGTCCGGCGTGGTCTGGGCGCAGGTTATGGGCTTGGGCGGTAGCAGCAGCGGCAGCAGGGACAGGAGCAGCAGACACAGCAGAGGCCTCTGGCCCAGCGCGTGGGGAGCCTCGAGGCCTGCGCGCTGCATGTTACCGAGGGCCAGGCAGGAGTGCAGGGGCGACGGCTGCGGGAGTCTGGGAGGCGCAGGAGAGGGGCAGAGGACGACGATGGGGTCCCGACAGACCCACGATCTCGGTACCTGACGGCGCGGTCCTACCAGGAGGTGGTTGAAGTCACAGGACTTCGCGATCCCGACCGAGAGGCAGAGCGCTTCGACGCCGCGCAGTACGACTGCCAGGGGGCGCCACTGCCCTCCCGCCCCATCCTAAAGGGCGCCCCCGCTGGCTGGGCGGGCCTCTGCCCCAGGAGCTCACGCAGGCTTCACTGGCTTCCTTGTTCCGTCCCTTTCTCCCTCTCATCCCCTCCTCTCACAAGAAGGTAGCTGGTGTTACTCCAGCGTTGTCCATGGGCTTGCTCTCCAAGAGAGAGGACCTGGGGTGGTCCTCGGCCTGGTTGCCAGTCGGAACCACATCAGGTCCCTGACTGCCTGCACCCTACCCGGACTACCCCAAGGGCCGCACGGGCTCTGTGATCATCGCGCTCTGGACTCGGGGTTTCCCGGATCTGGGCCATGTTATGCGGGTATAGGGGAAGAAAGAGTTTCTGGAAATGAGAGATTAACCTTGTGGCTTCGGCATCCAGGAAGGGGCCCTCTGCCCCGACATTCTCTCTTCCCTATCTTATCACGGCCTGGCAACTGACTGGAGCACCCCTCCTCCATCTTCCTCAGTCAGCCTGAGGAAGGAGCTACCTCCTAAGGAGATGCTGCACCTCGCCAGGGCCCCAAGAGGGCAAATTGGGAGTGCAATTAAGCAAGCGGTCTGGTGAGGAGGAGGAAACATCCTGAGCAAGAATCAGATGGAAGAAAATAAGGTAATTTCCATGGCTGCAGGGCTCCCCACCCCACCCCAGCACTTCCTCCCAGAGCTGCTGACTGACCTGCTGGCCAGGATTCCTCCTACCTCCACGTGGAAGCAGAGCCTGGTCCAGAGTAAGGGTCCTAAGGAATGGCCCAGCTCCTGGATTCTGTGCTACACTTGCTTTATCTCCTGACGCTTATGGCTCTAGCTCTCCCAGAAACATCCAGGCTGAGTTTCCTTCCTTGCCCAGCAGGCTCCACCCCATTCCCAGCCTGGGCCCCTCACCCCAACCAACTCTTCCAGGAACACCCGCCACACACATACACCCACACACTAGGGCTGTTGCCTCTCACAGAAGCCCCACCACTGGAGAGACTTCAGGATCTGCGCCCAAACTCCATCCCCAGAGACCTTTTCTCTCTCCTGTCCCTCAGTCTTTCAAAACTCTGCTCCAAACCTTGAGACCCCCGGGAGGGCAGTTCTACCTTTGGAATCTTCCCCAGGTGGCAGGACTGGCCAGTGTATGGGTACACCTAAGTCTAAGGACTGAAGATTCCAGAAGACCTCCTAAAAAGGAAATGAGGGGGACCAGCAGTTAGGTAATGGCTATGTCGCTGGACTCCCATGTAGTCGACCAAGGTTCGCGTCCTGGACCAGGTGGCTTAAACCTCACACTGTGCACATGTGCATATGTGCCCAAGATCCTGAGAGAACGGAGGAGAAGGGATTGTGGCGTGGCCATCCTCCGTGAGGTGTGATTTCTCGCTTTCTGTCTCTCTTTATCTGGCGAGTGCACGCGCCCTATAGCAAAAACCTCTCC